CAGGCTGCTTGCAGCTCTAGGCAGACATCCTACTGGCAGAGAGAGGTGTCTCCTTCCCAATACAGTAGTTCCAGCAAAAGCCTTAGAACCTACCCTGAAAAATCAGGCTGTCAACAGAGGAAGGATGAAATCTGGGTAGACACAAATGATAGATGGTCACTGCAGTGTGGATGGAGAGGGCCACAGATGGGGGCGACACAACAGGGGCACAGACTTGGACAGAGACAAACTTCTGAACTCCTCTCTCAAATCCTGCCTCCTCAGCTCTTGGCTGCCTCTTGTCCTTGGAACCTGAGGGGAGCTGCTCCCCACCTGCAGTCCCCTCCCCAGAAAGCTGGGGGGCCACGGGGGAACACTGTGGTCCTGTCGTGGCTCACGGTCCACCCACTCACTAGTCACCCACTGAAGCACCACTGAAGACCCCAGGAAAAGGGTCTCCTTTGGGTCCCGAAGGGGTGAGGGAGGGCAGAATCAGAGACCTCGGATAGGCATGACTCAACCAGAAATTGCAGCAGTTTGTTTCTGAGGAGCCCTTGTCAGAGCTTTCTGGGTGGCCCCCAGAGGGGTCTGGCCAGGGCCTCTAAGCCCAGGCCCTCAACAGTCCAGGAAGCAAAATCTCTACTTTCAGCACAAGGGAGTTGTTGGAATGCTTCCGGATACCAGGGACTCCACTGTCGGTGCCATCTCCTCCCCACCCCCACGCCTACCTGGGGTTGCAGGCTTCATTTTAGGTGCCTAAGTCTCACTCTGGTGTCTCACTCTGGTCTTTACTCTCCTGATCTGTCAAATGGCATCATGGGTGGTAAACCCAATTCCCCAGGGGCCTTTTTATTATTAATATATTCATTTATAAGTAAGTGATGCCAGGGAGCGAGTGATAGGGACTGTGGAGAAAGGAGTTCACAGCCCTGGCTGAAAACGGACAGCCACTGTCATGCCCTGGGCTGCTCGACACTTCCATTTTTCAAGAAAAGCCCGAAATCCAGTTCGCAGGTGTAATTTTATACGTTTTGACAATTTAAAGTCATAATCCACTTATGACTGCATTTGGCCTGTGGGGGTCACATGGTACCTGTGGTCCCCTCTCACTCTCCCTGCTACCAATGGATTCCCATTCAGTTTGCACTTGGCCTCTCCCCAAACAGCCAGTTAGCCCGCGGGGAACAGGCGTCCCTTCCTTCATTCTGCACAGTCTGTGAACCTCACCCCTCACTGAGTGGCAGGCTTTGGGCTTCAACCAGCTTTTTTGTGTTCACCCAGCTCTCTTGTGGAGGACCCGCCGAGTGGCCCATCAGGAGCCTGGAGGTGCGCACCAGGTGTGCACCTCGGTGGGGCAGAGCAGGCCCTAGAGCCTCAGAGAGGACTGGAAAGAACTTGCCAGCTCACGGCAGAGCCACACTGGAATCGGAGCACAAGGTTCATCCTGGGCCAGAATCATGTCAACGGTCATCTGGCTCCATTACGCACAGATGGAGAAAGAGGGGTGGGGAAATCGTGCTTCTGGCTGTCCCTTCCCACAGCTGGCCCCCTTGGCCGCAACCTAAGCATGTCCCAGCTTAGCTCCAGCAGCCACGAAGTAAGCAGGGCCAGGCATGCTGGCAGGGGCCTCCGGGATTAGGGAGGGGTCTCAGTAGGCTCCTAGGCAACGCCGAAGGTGGCGCAGCCCAGTGCTCCTGCCCAGGGCCTGCCCCTCCACCCACCACTGAGCTCAGGGCACCGAGGGCACCGCTAGGCAGGAAGAATGGCCTGGGAAGAGGCTGTGCCCACGCTGGACACCGCCCAAAATGGCTCAGAAACCACAGAAGCTGCCTCGCAGTCTCTAAGACGCTCAGGGAGGAAGGGGGGAGATGTGAACCCCTATCTCCCAGCTGGCAAAACCAAGGTCGGGCAGGGGCCAGGCTGGGTGACCTGGGCTGAATCCCGCGCTCAGGGCGCGCCGCCCAATCCCGTCAGCGGGGGGCTGCCGAGTAGCCGGCGGGGTGACGGGGCGCGCACCTGGCCGCAGTCCCAGCCAGGTGTCTGGCCTGGGGGCTGGGCCCGGCGGCCCGCCCGCGCTGCGGCCCCTCCCCGCCCCCCGGGTCGAACCGGCTTGGCGCACGTGACCCAGGGCCTGGCTCCCGGGAGTTACGCGCTGACGCCGCATCACCCCACTCCGGGCCGGGCTCCCATTGGCTGCGCCAGGCCTGCGCGGGCGGGGCTTGCCTGGCTCGGCGCCCCTGCGCCCCAGCCGCTGCCCCTGCCGGCCCGGCTCCCCGACTGCCCCGGCCTGACAAAGTCGGGGACAACAGCTCTGTGAGGTCCTGGGCAAGTCGCTTCACCTCCCCCTGCCTCAATTTCCTCCTCTCCTCATCTGTACAATAGGATGGTGGGTAACAGCCCCATCCTCCTAAGGCTGTTGGGTTAATAGAAAAAAAATGTTTGGCAGACTGTAAGTCCTCAGTGACCGTGGACAGTGCAGGACCTGCTGGCAGGAGTCACTGTTCGCCAGGCCAGGACCCCTGCCTCCGCCTAGGCACACCAGGGTAGAGGGGCTTGTGTCCACCTTCTTCGTGTGTGCCAAGACAAGCAGGTTCCCCTGAAAAACCGGAGCCCCACCCTCACCTTGAGGGTTGCCCTGGTAATCCCAGGCTGTGGAGCAAAGGTGTAAAGTCCTTTCACCGCCGCCCCCGCCCCTGGCTTTGGACCATGCCCCACGGGGGCTTCAACCAGGCTTCAGTTTCAATTGGCATTTTCTGGACTGTAAGTCTCCTGTTGTCCTTGACTTACCCTCTTTCCCTGTACCCTAACTCCTGCAGTTATGGAGTGCATATTTATTGAGCTATGCTCTTTACATATGTGGTAGTCATGTAAAAAACAGTGAGGCTGGGCCGGGTGCGGTGGCTCACCCCTCTAATCCTAACAGTCTGGGAGGCCAGGCGAGGCAGGAGGATCGCTTGAAGTCAGGAGTTTGAGAATTGCCTGAGCAAGAGCGAGACCCTGTCTCTACTAAAAATAGAAAAAGTTAGCTGGGTATGGTGGCTTGTGCCTGTAGTCCCAGCTACTGGAGAGGCCGAGGTGGGAAGATCACTTGAGACCAGGACTTGGAGGTTGCAGTCAGTAAGCTACATTGGGCCACTGTACTCTAGCCCAGGCGACAGAGTGAGACTCTGTCTCAAAAAAAAGAAGAGTGAGGAGGATCTGTTGTGATGATGACCCCAAAACACCCTACCTGCCTCTGGAGAGTAACTGCAGGAAGGAGTATTGCCATTTTACAGATCTAGTAGCTGAGACTCAGAAAAATGAAGTGGTTTCACGTGAGACAGCAAGCGGGTGGAAAAAGTGCCTGATTCTGAAGAAAGCGGTCTTTGGGCTTCACCCAGCAGCACCCCGCCCCTCCCTGGGAAGGGCTGTTTAAATTTTCAGGAAGCCACCAGATTCATAAGACCTCCTGAGTGTCTCCTGGGGGTGGAGTGGGGGGTCTTAGGAGAGACCATCTGTGTTTCCTGCATTCCCCAGCAGAAGTTCATCCGGAGGGAGGTGAAGGCCTGGGTGGACCCTTGAGCAGGGCTACTTGTGGGGAAGATGTGGTTTGGAGACCCTCGTGGCTTCTGGCCACCCTGTTCTGGGTAATTTTCTACAGCAGCGACTTCTGGGAGAGGAACAAAGAGATCTGCATGTCCAGGGTGAGCCCCAGGGACGTGGGCGTCTGTGGCTTCTCTCTTCCCCAGCACCCCCCTTCTAAAGTGCACCAATAATTTTACTCCCACTGGGGGTGTGGTCAGACAGGGTATATCTGGAGTCTGAGCAAGGCAGTGTTCAGGACAGCTTGGCTCATTGAGGCCCAGGGATAGGAGGGCCTGCGAGTCCAGACCTCTGAGTCTCCCTGGCTGCTCCTCACCAAGGGTGCCTCTCTGTGTTTGCATACCTCCAGGGACAGGGAGCTCACTGCCTTCTCACATTCAGATACCTGAGTGTTGATTCTAGTTTATTTCAGGCCACCTCATTGGGACCCCCTTCCCTCCCAGCTGACTGACCTGGCTCTGTCCCCAAGCCACAGGGCCCAGGGTTCAGTTTCCAGGCCTCTCCTCCGCCAGGCTGGCTGCTCTGACCTAGCCCCAGCCTGTCGTGATCCAGGGCAACCTGGCTCAGGTCCAAAGCAGTCTGCCTCTTCCTTGTGGCCTCCATCCCTCTGTTTTTGGTGTCAGACAACCCTGAGGCCCAACCCTGCTATAGTTCCCGAGTGGCTTTGTGTGCTTGACAGGACATGGTTTCTCTGGGTCTTCCTGAGTACTGGCTTCCTCCTTCAAGAGCTGGACTGGGCCTGCTGGCCCCCAAGCCCCTCTCCTGCCCCTACAACTGGATCCCGGAGGAAACCAGATTAAGACAGGATGGGAAATTCCAGCCTCTTCCAGGCTCTCCCTTCAGCCACTCCCGTCCTCAGGAGGCCAGTCTTCCCACTCTTTTGCAGGCAGCAGGCTGGATGATCTCAGAGGCTGTGACCCCTCCATCATCACTAATGTGCCAGCCGGTTGGTGGAGAGGCACCCTTAGGCCCACGTTACAGATGAGGAAAATTGAGGCATAGAGTGATGTAATTGGCCCAGGGCCACGCAGCAGACCTGGGACAGCCTAACTTGGACCTGGGCCTGTCTTGTGCTCTAGAGTCAAACCTAGGAAGGGAGATTTGTCGGTTCCTCGCTCCCAAGTCCAGAGACCTCTGGGATGGGGCCACTACTGGGGTTTCCCTCGGCCCCCTTTTGGTGCTGGAGAATCTGAGGCCCAGAGAGGGGCCGTGGCCTGCCCGAGGCTGCTGTGCGCGAGGCCTTATAAAGTGAATGGCTGGAGGGCACTCTGACCTAGGCGCACACCCGGGAGCCCCGGTCCCCGTTCTCTCCAGGCGGGGCGGGGCCGTTTACCCGGGGGGCGGGGCCTCCTCAGGGCCCCGCCCCCGCCTCGCCCGCCCTGCGGAGCGGCCGCCGGGGAACCTAGTTTCTGAGGAACTTTTCGAGGGCGCCGGGCTGCCACCCAGGTCAGGGCGGGACGCGAAGGCGCGGAGAGGCGGCAGCGGCTGCGGCCCTCCCTACAAGGGCTGTGCGCGGCGGCGGGCCCGGCGGGCCGCCCGGAGGAGGCGGCTACGCCATGGACGAGGCGCCCTTCAGCCAGGAGGCTCTGGAGCAGGCGCTGGCCGAGCCGTGCGACCTGGACGCGGCGCTGCTGACCGACATCGAAGGTGCGTCTGGGCCGCTGGGCTGGAAGCCGCGCCGGGCGGCGCGAGCGGGGGCCCGGCCTTTGTCTGCCCCTCGGGCGCCCGCTCCGTGCTGTGCATGCACCGGGCTTCCCGGCGTCTCTGGGCTGTGCGCTGTGGCCCTCGGTGTCCGGGGCCGCACCGAGCCTCCGACACCCGCCCCGGCATCTCGGGCCGCGGGCTCCGGGGCCAGGCCGCGCCGTGCCGGGGTCCCTTGGCAGCTCGGGGCGGGGCACGTGCGCCTCTAGGCGTCCCGGGCTCTGCGCCGTTCCGCCGGTGGTGAATCCCCAGCCCTGTGGCGGCCGCGGCTGGAGCTTGGGACCTAGGTGTCGCCGAAGCCCCGCCCCAGCTGTGACGTCGGTGCGGGGTTACTCACGGTCATTCCCTCCGGCCCGAGAGTTCAGCTCCGTGCTGGGGCTCTTGCGCGTGCGCATAGCGCTGCCTGTTGCCCTCCCGGTCTTCGGGTCTGGTTCTCTGGGTCTGCGACGGGCTGGCGTCGCTTCCGCGCACACTTATTGAGCATCTACTGAATGGCAGGCCCCGCCTCAGGCACTGAGGGTTCACAGACAGACCCAGGCTCCCCCCTTCTTGGGAGTACAAAAATCCCTAGGGACATCTGCAAGGGGATATTTAGTTGCACCTTAGGGTGGGGCAGGAATGTGGCTACTTTGCGTTGAGCGGTGGACTCTCTGAGTAGAGAGAGTTTTGAGCTGAGCCCTGAGGGTCAGCCCTGCGACTAGCCGAGGAAGACGTTGGCCAGGCCAGGGCTCCGGGGCCTAAGTTTGAGGAGTTAGAGGCTTACAAAGGTGGGGAGGTTGAGGAGGTAGGTCTGGAGGGGATGGGCCAGGCCTTGTCCGCCAGGGAGAGGCCTGGAGCAGAGCCGTGGCTCCGTCTTCCTTACACCTTTAAAAGCATCGCTCTGATTGTTATACAGAGAAGGGGTTGGAAGCCAACAATGGCAGCAGGTGCCAGTTGGGGGCTCTTTGTGGAGAGGGTAAACCGAAGCCCGCCAGCAAATTACCCTCTGTGGTTGTGCAGGAGTTTTAGCAACACTGGCTAAGTTGCATTTGGTCGAAGGGGAAACTAAGGCCAAGGTCACAGGAACAAGCTGCCTAGACTCACAACCTGAATGGACGTGTCCATGCACTCTGTGGCCACCCTGGGGTTGGCAAAACAGACACATCAAAGCCACCCCAACTCCTGCCCTCCTGCAGTCTTGCAAATTAGTCCAGCTGGCTGCCTACCCTAGGGCCTTCTCAGCCCCTTCCTCCTGGGGCTGCGGTAGGGGAGGATCACAGAGGAGAGGGCCTCATTGTGGGGCTTTTCTAAAACGGCCTCCCCCAGGGAAGGGCTGTCCTTCACTGCATTCTGGAGTGATGAACCCTGATATTCCAAGCCCTAGGGAGGTCCCAGCCTGACTCAATTACCAGTTCCACAGTGCTGGGCCCAAGGGGAGCAGTCTGAGAAGCACCATGACCCAGCTGGAAAAACATGGGTTTTGGGGTCAGGACTTGAACCTGGACACTACTCACTTCCTTTGCCATCCTGCTCAAGCCCTCTCACCCTCAGTTTCCTCCTCTGGAAAAATGAGGATGCGAATGCTCCCTTCATGGGGGAGTTGAACAATAGAATCAAAGGTGTGTCTGGGTTTTTCTTATTGACTGATGGATAGAAACATTGTCTCTCCAGACCCAAAGGCCAGACATGGGCAGCTATTGTGGGGGGATTTGGGGTCAGACCCTAGTCCGTCTCTTGAGGACCAGGCAGCCCCTTCCTGCTGAGGTGGGAGCTGAGGTTTGCCCACTGTAGTGGAGGATTTTTCAGGTATTCAAACCACCTATTCTTCTCCCCAATTACACAATACATCTTTTTTCATTGTAGAAAAATCAGAAAGTACAGGTAAGCAAAGACAAAATACAATCTCTAAACCCACCACCCAGAGATAAGTCCTGTTAATTATTTGAGGGATTATTTCCTCTGCGTGTGTGTGTATTTGAGGGATGGCTGTACACTCTTCATCAGCTTTTTAAAAACTTTATCGAGGGGCTGGACATGGTGGCTCACGCCTATAATCCTAGCACTCTGGGAGGCCAACACAGGAGGATCGCTTGAGCCCAGGAGTTTGAGGTTGCTGTGAGCTAGGCTGACGCTACGGCACACTAGCCAGGGGAACAGAGTGAGACTCTGTCTCAAAAAAAAAAAAAAATTAAAAATAAAAACCTTATTGAGGTATGATTTACATGCCATAAAATGTATCCATTTTAAGTGTATCATTCAATGATTTTTAGTAAATTTTTGGAGTTGTATGACCATTACTAGTTGTAGGACATTTTCATCACCCCAGTAAAATCCCTCATGCCTTTTTACAGTTACTCCCCATTCCTACCTACAGCCTCTGACAACCATAAATCTATATTTTTAATAAATTAGAATAGGGCCATTGGTTCACAGCAGATTGTACCTGCTTGGTTCCATGTCAACAGCCAGACAACAGTCAGATTCCCTCATTTATTCACCTGATCCCTGTCAATGGACATCTAGGCTGTTTGTCTTCGTAAACTGTGCTGCAGTGGACACCCGAGGCTGGTTTTTGCCCAGCTCCTCATTTAGTTCTGTAGGATCAGGCTCTGGGAGGGACTTGCTGGTCAGAGGCTGAGCCTGCTTTTGAAGCTTCTACAAAGTGTGGAGCTGGGCAGGTTCGTAAGGTCTAGAGAGAGGTGATTCAGGGTGGGAAGGCCAGATCCCCGAGAGGCATGAGAGATGACAGGTGAGCCAGGCAGGCCTCAGGTGCCAGGATGGGAGCTGGACTGGCTGGAGGACAATGGGGGGTTGGGGCAGGTGCATGCCGTGCTCGAGTTGTGTAAGTTCCCTCTGGCTGCCAGGGTGAGAGGTTATAACATGAATAGGGATCACTAATTTAGCACTTACTGTCTTCTAGGCACTGTGTTGATGATCTCATTGAATTCTCCTGACAACTCCAACTGGGTAGACTTATGATGAAGATGAGGGCCTTAAGGAACAGAACAGAGAGGCTAAGTGACTTGCTCAAGATCACACAGCCAGGCCGGGCGCGGTGGCTCACGCCTGTAATCCTAGCTCTCTGGGAGGCTGAGGCGGGCGGATTGTTTGAGCTCAGGAGTTCAAAACCAGCCTGAGTAAGAGCGAGACCCCGTCTCTACTAAAAATAGAAATAAATTAATCAGACAACTAAAAATATATAGAAAAAATTAGCCAGACATGGTGGTGCATGCCTGTAGTCCCAGCTACTCGGGAGGCTGAGGCAGAAGGATTGCTTGAGCCCAGGAGTTTGAGGTTGCTGTGAGCTAGGATGATGCCACAGCACTCTAGCCCGGGCAAAAGAGTGAGACTCTGTCTCAAAAAAAAAAAAAAAAAAAAAAGGTCACACAGCCAGATCATGGTGGAGCCAGGATTCAAACCCAGGCTGTGGGTTTCAGAGCCTATACTCTTAGCTCCTAAGCTCTTAACCACTAGGGTCCTAAGACTGGGGCTGGGGGGTTGAGGAGGCTGCTCCATGTGGGGCTATGCTGGGGACCTGGGAGTGGGTCACAGAGGAGTCAGAGGCCATGTGGCTGCCTCCCCCTTCAAGCCCAGTTCAGCCTTTGAGTCATGAGACTGGGAGCTGGCACTGGGGAGCAAGCTGAGGGCCTGAAGCCACCCACACCCAGCTGGCCCTGCCACCTGCCTTGGCCAAACTCTGTCATGTGAATAGCTTTTAGGGTGGGGCTGCCACCGTGAGTCCTGGTGTCTGTGGGTGAAGGCACTTGCCTGGCTATAGTGCTCTTTGAGTTCGAGTCCTGCCTCTGCACCAAGACCTCAATGAGCTCCATCTCCTCTGGAGCCTTCCTTCCTCACTCTGTGCTTTGGGGTTCCTTGCAGCAGTGGGGAGAGGATGGAACATGAGAGCAGCTCTTACACGTGTTGGGGATTATTATTAAGCCTGCAGAGGTCTTCTCCTTCCCACTGAGGATTAATTTATCAGATCTTGCTCAAGTTTATAAGTGCAGAAAAGGCAGATGGAAACAGAGTTCTGGTCAAGCACGGGAAGGGGGCTGAGGGTCTCTTTCCTCTGCCTGCACCTCTATATCTGCTCTTCGTCTGCTGGACCCCAGATGTCAAGTCAAAGGTTGCTGCCCTGAAGCCCTCCTGGGCCTCGCCTCACCTCCCTGCCAGTGCCACCTTGCCCTAGGCAGTGCTTTCTCCCAGCCCAGCCGTGTGGGGCCTTGCTTCCGGGCCATGTGTGTCTGGCTGTTTCCTGGTCCAGGACAGCCTTGGTGGAAAGGGCACGTTAGGGGCCCACTCTGCCACCCCACACTTCTCACCAGGATACTGTGTGCCCCAGTCCTCTCCCTATTCTCACCAAGCATGAGCAGTCCCTAGAAAACGCAGCTCTAGACTGGTTACTGCCCAGCTCCCAGCACGTAACTCCCCAGGTCTCAAACCATCCATGGCTCCCCAGTTCCCCTAAGATAAAGTTCCCTGTCTCATCATGGCATTCGAGACTTGCAAGGTTTGCCAGACCTGCCCCTCCTTTGACATTGCCCATCCATCCAGAACCCGCTCCCGGGGCACAGCCTGCCCTGCTAGGGTGCCCCTTCTCCCTCAGCCTGTGTCCAGAGCCCCTCAGCAGTGGAGTCTGAGCCTCTCCTGTCAGATGTGTTCCCCTTTCTGTGCCTTTCTCTGCCTCTTGGTGTCCAGCCTGTCCAACCTTAGGGCAGCAGAAAGCAGAAAGCCCTCCCAGTGTGGTCACGAATTGCTGTTTCTCCTCAGGAAAGTGCCCTGCCCTTTGTGACCTGCAGGGGCCTCCCCTGAAAAGCAGGCGATGAAGACTGTCAGATTTGCTGCCTCTGAGCCCCCAGAGCTTCAGCCCTAATGCTTCTGAGGGGGCAGGGCTGGGGGATGGGGAGGAGGATGCTGGGAGTGGGTCCAGGGAGGCTGTGGGTAGATAGCTGGGAGTTACCTCCTGC